TCTTTTCTTCTTGCTGTTTTGCTTCTTTTTCATACATAACTTTTTCTTTTGCTAACCTACAAATAAACAAAAATTATTTTGTTTATGCTCTAATAAAACTGAACTTTAAAAGAAACACACTGCCCAAACACACAGCCACTTCAGTGAGAAAGCTGGCACGTTCAGTGAATCATTCCAGACACAGCCTCCACGAAGAGAAAAGGCCACTGTTTCTTTCTGCAAACACAAGCCTTGTCAGGTGGTGTGCTATCATTTGACAGCCTGTAATAAATAGCCAAGGGGAGGCTGCTCTTGCTGTACAAAAGGGCTTGGATGAAGCGGGAAAGCCCAGATTGATTTGTGAAATAGGGGAACCCACTGTAGGTACTAGATTGTGATAGCTAGAGGGAATAATCATTGATTAGATGATCCTGGCTCCATGCCATTATAGATCTTTCTCCTCTGCCCATTGGAATAGGAGTCCTTTACTCTGTCCTTTACTCTGTCATTACTCAGCCATTGATTTGTACTCTGGTTGCCCACTGATGTCAGCATTATCATCCAAAAGGATGCACAGCCCTTGGCTTGTCTCCTCACTACTGAGAGGCAGACAGCTCCAAGAGCTGTCAGTGCTTTGTTCAGATTAAACCAAACCCATGCAACAGAATATGGACGTTGTCCACATCTAGTTCCACATCTGGATCAGACCTTTGCAGATTGGGCCCATCTGTCTTCCAGGCCATAAGCAAGTACCAGTATCTGGAAAGAAGGCAGTGAATAACTTTAGCTGTTTCATAATGAATTAGCTTATCAAAAGCTTCACGGTTAGGGCTGTGTTTCAGTTTAGAACAGAGTAGATATATCCAAAACATGCCATTCATTCATAAAGGAGCTTATATTGCCACTGTCCAGTTTTGAGTATCAGTTAGTTTCACATGTCTGCTAAAATAATTCCCAAAGCGACATTATTTTCCTGTGGCTCGAGGGAGGATTGACTGGCCTTTCTGTTTTGCATGCATGTGTTTATTCGTTTGGCTGATTAGTGTGTATGTGTGCACAGACAGTAGAAACCTGGCCAAACAAGCTCCATGCAGGGCTTCCTGGGATTCATTTGGATTGGTTCATGTCAAGAGAAGTCTGCGATATAAACATTAGATGCTAGCATATTGGGTCAGTGCTGTGATTTATGCAGAGCGTGTGCTGCAAGATAACTTGGCTGGTTAAACAAAGTGTGGGTAAGCTCCTGGGAACCCACCTCACCCTGAGCCTCAGACTGCTTGCTAATGATCAAGAGTTAAGGTTCCATTTGCTCATTCCCTTGCCCAGACATTTACATCTGTGCAGGCTGCTACCGTAACAGCGCTTTAGTCTTTGTTTGGAGTGGCAGGGAATCAGCCAGTGGCTGGGCTGCAGAGTCGTGCAGCTTCTGTGTGCAGTGTGTTATATGAGGACCATTGGGTTTTCATATGACAGGTGGATTGCTGAGGTCTCAACCTCTTCATTCCCTTTTTCCTCTGTGCTGGAGTCTATGCACTTGCGTGTTGATTAGCAACCTTGCTATGTATGGATCTCTATCTATGGTTTGCCAGTGAAGCAGTATGAATGACAGAGGATTCAGGCATATACCAAGAATTTCATATTACTGCTACACCCTGATCCAAGTCTCTCCTCTTTACCCCAAACTTTGGCTTGTCTGGAATATCTGCGGGGAGACTTCTTTCAGTAGCACTGTAGATCTCAGATCACCTTCATCTTTACTATTTATCACTGCAGTGATACACAGAGGCTGCAATCAGGGTTCTGGATTCCCAGGTGCCAGGTGTTGCACAGACATAAAGCAAAAAGAAGCCCCTGCCTCAAAAAACTTATAGCCTAAGTATAAGTGAAACATCTGTCCCAGAGCCCTCCTGGTTCAAGTTAAATCACAGTCCCCCAACATCCCAGCATGCTTTCCAGCCCTAGGCTGTGCTGTGCTGTGCTGTCTGCTTCAGAGAGCAGGGCTGGCCACACTCCTCTGCTCCCTAGCTGGAGCAGAGGGAGCTGACTGACAAGTGGGGTGGAGCCTGCCTGGGGATGCAGCCTAGTCTGCATGGAGGGGACTGCACCCCCCAGGCAAACCCCAGCTGGGGTCCAGGGCCAGGGAGGGGGGTTAAACACCCCTTCCCCTGTTCAAACTCACTGCTGGCTGCAACAGTGGACTACAAATCTCAGAGGCACCTGAAAGCACATGGAAGAAGTGATTAGCAAACTTGCAGAGTCCTGCTGTTGTAATTCTGGACTGCAAATTCCAGAGACCTCCAGGGCAGCAGGAAGAGGAAGTGAATGCACAGTCAGAGAGCCAAGCTCCAGCACCTCCAGGATTCTGGCCTGAGCCACTGCAGGTATGTGGCTACATTTCCTGTATCAAAGGTAAATGTCTGTTCACTTATGTTTCGGTGTAATCTGTGGAGCTTAAGAGTAACCTGCAAAGACTGAATTGATTCAGCCTCGGGCTTTTTGACTGTCTGTACCTAGCCCAGATGTCTGAATTAGTGGAGTTGCAGCTGTTTCTCCTTCCCTACCATAATGCTCTTTCTATTCCACTGTGATCAATCATTTTAGCACAATAAATAAAGGCAATAAAAGAATTAAAGTCAAGGATGGAAAATCCCTCCAGATGGGCTCTTGTATACAAAGAGAGATGCTGCTTCTGCAGCAACACATCAACCACCCAAAGCCTTTTTCCCACTCTAACATCCTCCCCCCACCTCATTTGAATCCTTCCTTGTATTTATTTGAGCACTGTGTGGTGCACAGTGTGTTGCAGCTTGCTGAAATATAAACTCAGGAGGAGCCCAAGGTCTGGAGAGCAGCTTTGTTACCCCTGGTAGGCTCTGATGGCTGTAGGTTTATTTTTCTTTCCTAGTCAACATCTGGACTGATACAGAGGAGAGTAAACTGCAGTGGATGGATGCCACTAAGAAACAAAGTTTTCTGCTCAAATGAAACCTACTAATTTGGGCCTAGAAGCAGTGCCAGTATCCCTCTATGGGTGTGGCCGTGCCGCTCTGTGCAATGAACCCTCCTGCCTGGTGGCTGCTCTGCAGATTTATGGGAACTGACATTCTTCCTTTGCATGAGATGTTTCGAAATTGCCTGGATCTTCCTCACAGACGATTTGGCCATCAGGGTGCCAAGTACGACAACATGCAAGCAGTGGTGTAGCCCACAAGTGGTTCTTTTTATAAAGGCTTACCCAGCCCTGGGACACCAAGCTGAGTTTCTCAAGTGGATGAGTGCCTCAAGGGTGCATTCAACGTTCCTCTGTTCACTTCTTTTGATGATTTTCACTCCTGAAGGGAGTATGGGAATGTGTAGTGTTGTTTATGCACATGATGTAATCGCTATCTTTAGCCTAGGTCATAGTTTCTCTTGAAACTTTCAGAGCACCCAATTAAGCTAGGGAAGTGCAGTATTATTATACCCATTTTATATATGGGTAAACTGAGACACAGGGAGAGTAAGGTCCTACATTCCCAGTAGCAGAGACAGGAGCAGAATCCAAGCTTGGCTACACCCTGTCCTGATCAAATCAATAGGCTGGGGTATTATAACATTCTGCATTATAGGCCTGCCAGGAGGTCTCTGCCAGGATTGAAGCCTTATTATGCTGGGTGCTGCTTGTAGAAATAGTGAGAGACAGTTATTGCCCTGAAGATCTTTCAAGTTTAAATAGACAGCACAAACAGTGTGGGAAAAGGAAGCAGTCTAGGATATGACAATTTATTCCAGGGCAAAAGAAAGTGGGGCTTTACCACATAACAGTTGTTTCATGGTAACTGCCCATGTGTGTGCTCTTACTGTATTGTATGTAGAAGAAACCCACAGTTTTAGCCCTTGATAAAATTGCAGTAAATTGCAATGGTTTATCTGTTTATTGTGTGCTAAGAGTAGACTCATAGGCAGCTACTGCAGAATAACTAATGTGCAGTAAAGCCGTGCTCCACTATACCCCATGCTAAGTTGTTCATATGTCCATGCTGTCAGAGTGAGGAAATGAATTCCTGCAGAGCAGAGCAGGGGCTGAGCCATATTTAGAACTCCGCTCTCTCTACTTCCCCATGCACTGGACGCTTTGGATTGATACAAATTATTTTGAAAGCTCCCTTCAGCAGCCACCTCCCTTCAGATGAATGTTAATAGGTTTTTTTAAGAGTACGCATTTTTCTGTAATACCACCATGGGCTGCCAAGCTCATAAAAGCTCTTTCTCTAAATCTTTCTTTTACAACAGCAGCGGCTGCTGGTAACATGATCACCCTTTAGAACCTACCTAATCTGTGTAATATATGTCTCAGTAATTGCCTGAGGCTTTCTTCTCCTTGGTGAGCATTATACAGAGTCAATGCCCACCTGGTGGGGAGGAGAGGGGTCATCTGGCCTCCTCAGCACCGGAGACAGTTGTTCCACAACATGCGATTAGCACCATGGCGATGGGGAAATAAACCAGCGTTCCAGACTCTACACTTACATCACTGCCTTGGCAGGCAGAGGACCAATCGGAACGGGAGCTGCTAACGTTCAAAAGAGCGAGTGCAAAAAAAACGACCCTGAGACAAGTTCAAGGAGGATCTGGGTGGTTGTTTTAAATTTAATTTTAGGTGCTTAATCCTTGGCTAAATTGAAGCCACAGCAACACAAGTCATCAGTCAGAATCAACTGGTAACATCAAGCCCTTCTAACCTCTCATGTACCTTTCCTGAATGGCTGTTTTGATTTTGGAAGTGTTGAGGTGATGTTGTTGCCATTACGGTACAGGAAATATGTGAGAGGCAAGAGTTCTTGTGGGTGAAATCTTTATTGGACCAACTGCATGGTTGGGATAGACATAGGCAATTTGGGGTATCACAGTACCTTTGCAGAAAGGTATATGGGTATTGCAGTGCCTTTCTTCAGGCCACTGGGAAAGAATTAGACATGGCAGAGATAAGCAGCAGATGGAACAAAAGCTTGTGTAAAACTCCATAAGTAAACCAAAATAGGATATAAGAGAAAGTATTAGGCAACCAATAGGCAGGAGAAATGCAGTAAACAACCTGATACGGGACGAAGAAGATTGGTCAGGTTGGCTGTTATTGCCAGTAAAGTGCAGAGGTTAACTATTATGAGGTAGATTATAATGGGCCATGAAGTCATTGACTATGCCAAGTCTATTGTTCATGTCTTGACTTTGTCACTCTGCCCCTTAGGTTCATTGTTGCCACAACCCCACTGGCAAGAAGCTTGTGCTTGTTTTCTTTCTTTCATTAGTTAGTTATTGGTATATATTTGAAGGGGACCAGCTGTCAAGGGAAGCTAGAAAGACTCCCCGCAGCATCCCCCAATGGAGATTTCCAGGACTAAAAGCAAAACCATCACTTTTGGAAATGGTGGATGTAGACCCTCAGCCACAGAAGCATCAGGAGTTAAGCAGTTCCCACCAATCAGTTCAAAAATCAAGGGTGAGTGAAGTTCGTACAGAGATGATCCTACTCAAAACCACAAGTTAAGGGTGAAGCAGTCCTGCCCATCGCTGCTTTCCTTCAGCTCTCCTTTTTGCTACTTTGTATTTTCTGGCTAATTCCAATGTTTCCGAGAAGTCTTAGGGTTACAGAATTGCCTGGGTACCATGGTTTTGGGTAGAGAGAAGGACTGAAGGGTAACCAGAGTGAGTAGAAATTCTTCAGTGTCCCAAAATGATAGTTAGATTGGCAAAGGGATAGATCAGGAGAAGATGGACAGACAGACAGAGGGTGGAGGTAGTGATAGCAGTTATTGATAATAGTGATTGATGCTTAGCATTTTCAACCATAGACCTCAGAGGGAAGTTAACATTCTTATAGATTTTTTTTTTTGTAAATAGAAAGACAGAAAGATAGACAAACCTGAGGGGAGAAGTTCTTATGGAGGAAGAGAATATACGCAGCTAGATGGGGTTGTGCAGACCATGGAGGGGAGAGAGTTTAGAAGGAACCAGCAATCTGAAGGTTGTGCCTGTCTTTGGTGGGATGTCAGTGGCACTTCAAACAGCTTCCCCAACAGCTTTGGAGGGTAAGAAGAAAAGGGACTGCCAACTACTTTCTTAGGTCACTGTTTCACCAAGAACAGTTTAAGGATCACATCCCTGACTAGACTGACAGAATATCAAGAGTAGAGATTGTTTTATGAGAAGACAGCAGCCTCTACAGTCATCTGGATACCCTGAAATGATGTGGGACAGGTGGCTGGATTCTTCACTGGGATAAAGTTATCACCATAGTTTTCCAGAGAACGGGAGGGTAAGAGATAGGTATAGCCTTAGTGATAATGATAAGTAGGTATGACCCTATCATGAGGCCTAGGGTACCAGGCAGGTGAGAAGCCAAAAGCATCCTCATCTGAGGTTGACAGCTTCACACAGTTCTTCAGATTAGGGTTTGGGGTAGGAGCTAGAGACCACCTCTTTATGTTACATTCCCTTCAAGGTTACTTCTTGAGCCAAAATGATACATAAGTGGCAGCATGAAGGCATTTCTCAAAGATCTTAGGGCATGACCCTTTTCTGGTTTGAACATTTTTTATGTATTCCCTGGCTCTTGTGTCTCTGTATGTTAACGCTCTAAATGAAAGTTTCTCTTTGTGTTCCAGGTCCAGGGCCTGCAAAATATGCCAGGAAGCCTTGCACTGGCTTCATGAATCATGACTTCACCATGTTTGCAGAACCAGCCTACACAATGCATACAAAACACACAGGAAAAAGTGAGAATAAAGAGAAAGGGAAGAAGTTTAGAGAGTCTGAGCCAGATCCCCCCTGTTGTGGATTAGGGTAGCTTCACTGCATTGGTGGGCCTTCACTGCATTGGTGGGGCTTTTCTGATTTACACCAACTGAGAATTTGGCCCACAGTGCCCTGTCCTACAACAATCTAAGATGAGTTTGGTTACCTTTCCTTCAGACTACACAGGGAAAGAATTTTAACCTGACTAAACCCCAAAAGCCTATGGACTGACCACCCAGTTGGCATGTAATAGCTCAGTTTATGCCTGAATGTCTATGGACTGAGCACCCAAGCTGCATAAGTTTACAAGATAAATATACTTTGCTATGAAAGCAGTGCTTCCCTACCCTAATGGTGTCAGGCAGCAAAGTGTTCATATGTGCTGTCAACCCATGGGCACATTCTCTGTGGGCACTTTGTTCTGCTGTCTGCAAGGGCAAGAGACTTCAGTAGGAAGATATGTGGTCATCATGCCCAGCCCCTCTGTTACTGCATTCTAGTGATAAGGGCCACAGCTTTAAGGGACAGTTAAGGGGCAAAAGGAGATGAACCAGTGACAGAGGGTGAGCTGAGGGTCAGTCACCTGAGCCATAGCTTGTGGGTAGGTGGGAACTGACATTCCACATCATATCCTGAACTTGATTCTTCTCCTTTCTCTTATAGCCTTGACTGACGTGGTCAGCCCTGGTCCCTGTTACTTTGTAGACCCCCACGTCTCCCGATTTGGGAAGCAGAAGATACCATTATCTGTCATATTTGACCGAGAAAGGGATCCAAGTAAGTAGCATTAATATAGATCAACAAGTTCTGATTCTCCAGGGGCTAGAAGGGCTGCCAGGAAATATTAGCTGATCACAGCCCACCAAGAAGGATCAGAAGGCTTGTCTCCTTCTCAAAAAAAAAAAAAAAAAAAAAAAGGGGGAGGATGGAGAGATCTTTACCCAGAAACACCCTGACCTTGGGTGGGGCCTAGCAGACTGATTAAAGTGAGTATGATTAAAGTCTGCTATTGCCTGCATAGCATTGTACATTCATTATCAAAGCACCTGGGGCCATTTTTGGGTTGAGTTTC